AGTGAAGTACGGTAATCCGTTGTTTCTTTTTTTGTTTATATAGTGTGTATTTTTTACTACCTTTTATTCTCCTCCTTCCTTTGTTCGTAACCATAAAGTTTTTGTTTCTGTATCTGTGAGTCTATTTCTGGTTTGTAAATAAGTTCATTTGTATCATTTTTAAAAGTTATACATATAAGTGATATCATATGATATTTCTCTTTCTCTGTCTGACTTACTTCACTTAGTATGATAATCTTTATTTCCATCCATGTTGCTGCAAATAGCATTATTTCATTTTTTCTTATGGCTGAGTAATATTTCATTGTATATATGTACTACATCTTCTTTATCCATTCATCTGTTAATGGACATTTAGGTTGCTTCCATGTTTATTGTTAATAGTGCTGCTATGAACATTGGGGTGCATGTATCTTTTTGAATTAGAGTTTTCATCTTTTCCAGATATATGCCCAGGAGTGGGATTGCTGGATCATATAGTTAAGTCTATTTTAAGTTTTTAAAGGACTCTCCATACTGTTCTCCATAGTGGCTGCACCAACATTCCCACCCACAGTGTAGGAGGGTTCCCTTTTCTCCACATCCTCTCCAGCATTTATTATTTGTAGACTTTTTTTGTGTGTGTGGCTTTTTTAAAAAATTGAAGTATAGTTGATTTACAGTGTTGTGTCAATTTCTGGTGTACAGCATAGTGATTCAGTTATACAAATATATATATTCTTTTTCATTATAGACTATTACAAGATATTGAATATAGTTCCCTGTGCTATACAGTAGGACCTTGTTGTTTATCTATTTTATATCTAATAGTTTGTATCTGCTAATCCCAAACTTCTAATTTATCCCTTCCCCCTCCTTCCCCTTGTTTTTTATGTCTGTGAGTCTGTTTCTGTTTTGTAAATAAGTTCATTTGTGTAATTTTTTTAGATTCCATATATAAGTGATATCATATGATATTTGTCTTTCTCTGACTTACTTCACTTAGTATGATCGTCTCTAGGTATTTGTGGACTTTTTGATCATGGCCATTCTGATTGGTTTGAGGAGATACCTCATTGTAGCTGTGATTCACATTTCTCTAATAATTAGCGATGTTGACCATCTTTTCACGTGGCCGTTGGCCATCTGTATGTCTTGGGCTCTGAAGGTGTTTTGGTGTCTTTTTAAAAAACAGCTTTATTGAGGTATAATTCATACATAAAGTGTATGTATTTAATATATACAACTTGATGAGTTTGGACTAATGAGTCTTGGTCAACATTTTTCTTTTTTGATAGAGGTTAGATTGTAAGAAAGTAATATTAACATATTTTGTAAAACACACTAAATTGTAGGAAAAAACAAATTCAATTGGGAGAATTAAAACGAAGGTGTTTATGCCCTCCTTTAAAAAAATTATTTGACTGAAAGGGAAACTGTGATTGTAGGATGTATAGGGGCTACATGGTGAATGGTGTTTGGAAGAACAACTGCTTTGTAATGTGAAGCTTTCTCTTGCCTCTATAACTCCACAACCTAAGTGTTCCACCTAATTCTATAGATGAAAAATGTTTTCAGCAGAGTATTTAGCAAACTGTAAAGATTATCTCAATTGGCAATTGGGCATCTAGCTTCTTTTGTAAATTATTTCTTCCATGGTTTGTTACTTGTTTTATACATGCTAGGTTGATACAGTTTTTAGAATTTCACCATGATTGTGTTTCTAGGTTTAAATCTTTAGCCAAAACCAAACAATTCTCCTGTTCCCCACCCCCCAAATTATGTAAATTGACCACTTCTGCTATAGCATGATATAAAAAATAAGGGTCTTATAATAATATGCCTGAAAATAAGCTTGCTTTTCATTTAATTTTATTTGGACCAAGAAACTATTAATTCAGCAAGTGCCTTAGCAATTATCCAGTAATGAGGTAAATATTCCTAGTTAAAGTTTCCTAGGAAACCATTAGCAGAAAGAGCTGCAACTATATTCCCCCATTTTTTCTGCTACTAGCTCATTATTTTTACCTCTTACCTTTTCAATATCTATTCATTCCCACCTTTCTTATTTCTTATCAGGATACAAAATGTTTTTCAAACTATAGGTCAAGGTCAATAGAATTTTGAGCCACAATGATTCCAAACACTTGGAGGGTCTCAGGGCTTGGACCTCAGAATTTTTTTTTCTATCCTCGTTCATTTCATTGGTCACCCCATCCAGTCTCATGATGTTTGTTTTATTTATGGTGGTTTTGGTAAAATATATATTATTATCATTTTAACCATTCATAAGTGTACAATTCAGTGGCATTAAATATATTCACAATGTTATATAACCAGTGGAATGGTTTTAAATACCACTTATTTACTAGCCTGGATTTCTCCTAAACTCTAAGGTCATATATCCAACTGCCTATTCACTAACTCCACTTAGATGTCTAACGGACATTTCAAATTAAGATTAAAAAAAAAGTTTAATGCTCTTGATTGGGTTGAGGAAGTCCTCTTCTACTCCTACTTTGTTTAGAGTTTTTTTGTTTGTTTGTTTTAATTGAAGTATAGTTGACTTACTTACAATGTTGTGTTAATTTCTGGTGTATAACATAGTGATTTATTTATATATATAAATTTTTAAAATTTGAAGATTTAAAAAATCTTTTTAATTTAGTAGGGAAATGGTTATCTTTTACTTAACTTTGTATTTATTTCATTATGAGAACAACTGAACATTTCTTCCCCATGTTTATTGACCATTTGCATGAGGGTTTTTTTTTTTAACAGAATTGAATTTTGCTTAGTTTTCTTTTGTATTTTAAAATCTTGTTGATTCTTATATAACAGTGTTAATCCTTTGTAGCTATGTGGCAATTTCCTCTCAGTCTGTCTTAAGCATTTAATTGTGTTTATAACATTAGTGCAAGAAAGTTTTACATTTTTATGTCATCAGTGTTTCAACCTTGCTTTATAGTTTCGACCTTTGTATAGAATCAGCCATCCCTCCCCAGATCATGGTTGTAAATTCCCTCTCATCCTTCATTTTCTTAGCTATTCTCATGCATTTATTCCTCCTCCAGATGAAGATTAAAATCATTTAGCCGATTAAAAACATGCTGAGATTTTTCTTGAAATTTTGTCAAACTTAAAAATAATTTTGGATCATACTGTATAGCACAGGGAACTATAGTCAATAACTTGTAGTAACTTATGGTAAAAAATATGAAAATGAATATATGTATGTTCCTGTATGACTGAAGCATTGTGCTGTGCACCAGAAGTTGACACAGCATTGTAGACTGACTATACTTCAATAAATATATAAATATATTTATATATAGAGAGAGACAAAAAATAGTTTTGATAAGATATTATATTTTTTAAAAGTGATCTTCTTATGAAAATTATCATGATATGAATTTTTACTTTATGAGAAAAATTTATGTCCCTTAGTAAAGTTTGTAGTTTGCTTCAGGTAGGACCTAAGGGTGGAGTGATGAAGTGGGGAGAACGGGCAGAGTAACAGAATTTTTGAAGTCCCTGAGGTAGGAAAAAAATGCTTTCTATTATGCTGGGTAAGATGTGAAACATTAACTACAGTATTGTATACCAGTTCCAGGGGCACTTGGAGGCTTCCACTCCCACCCCACCCCCAGGAGCAGCATCCACAAATGGGCATTCTCCACCTCCTTGGCCTGGTCATCCCATCAGAGAGCTCTGTGATTCTGCCCTCTTTGGCCGAGGCTTCATCAGCTTGGTCATTCCACTGAGGGAGGGAACTGGGACCTGGAGGGAAGGAAGGAAAAGAAGCCTAGAAGGGGAGAGGCACCTGCAGGATGGCCAGGCAAGGGACTGGGAGACAATCAAGATGCTGCTACCACCTGATCAAGCACCATGAAGAATAGTTAAGCCTTGAAAGGAAGACACCTTTCCATCCATTCTCATCGTATGAAAAACCCTAACATTAAAATCAAGTGTAAAGAAACAAAATAAGCATTCAGCAAACACTCATCACATTGCAGATAAGGAGATTTTTTTTTCTTTTAATTGGTGTGATGTAATGTGTCCTTCTAAAACACGAGTGCCTCATCCTTTCCCACTTCACCTGTATGATTCTGGTGGGGGCTGCCAGTTACTGTAAACTTCTCACCCTGGCCAGGAGGGGCATATCTCAGGATAGATCAAAAAAGATTTCTCTTTCTTGGGTTTTTCCAAATTGGAACAAGAAGGAAAGATTCTTTTTTAGTTACTAAGGATCTGGCTTTCCCTGTAAGAAAAAAAAACCTGTCTTCAGCCTGAAGGACAAAACCAAAGTGCAGAGGGAAGCAAACATGAGAACCAGGGAGAGGAAGAATATGAGAGAGCCCTGGTTGTATTGAATCCCTGAATCTGGTCATCCTGGAAGCCAGCTTGACTCCTGCCCTTTCTTCATTTTGATCACATGAGTTAATCAACCCTCCCCATTTGCCTAAGACAGTTTGAGATGGATTTCTGCCACTTGCAACCAAAGAACTTGAGTTGGGGCCATAGCCTAATAGCTAACTTAACATGGTTTTTTAATACAAGCAAGACAAACGCATCTAGAAACTGTTTCCCTGGGGAAGTCTAACACTGCCCCACCTTGCCTACCTGCTCTGGGTTCGGCTCAATGAAGTATGTAGTGATGGCAGTGATACTGGATGTGATGTTGTAGAGCCAGCCGATGCCAGTGATCACAATATGCAGGATGTGCTCCCGGCTGTGGACATAGTGATAGGCAGTACTAAAGACATTGGCAACACCCTGTAGAGACAGAAAATTTTAATTGCCTTTTCTTTTTAAAATAGCAAAACAATTAGTAATACAGTAATTGGATTATTTTTTAATCAATGATAATTTACTTCCTACAAATTATTCATCAGTTCTCAGAAGGCAGTGTTCCAGACTCTATTACAAAAAAAGGATCATAATGAAACTAAAAGTTTAAGGAGAGATCTAACACAAGATCCATCTAACTTTATTATGTTTCCTGATAATCCTTCAGTGAAATTTGTGATATGTGCTATCAGAGAATAGTGTCCGAAGAGCAAGATAAACTTTGAAATGAGAAAAAAATATTCAAAAACCAAGAACTTATGCCAGCCTTGGACAGATGGGTAAGAGCTACCCCAATCTGATGCAATATTAATGCCTGCATCTCTACATGGTTACTGTCATCGGATTAGCACTACAGGTGTGCTGGGTTACAAGGCCTGAAACATGATAGAATATACCATTTTCTTATATGTATCAAGAGACCCCGTTCTGCAGAGAAGGGATGGGAAGTCCTTAGTACCCATGTGGTCTTTTTATCAAGAAACTTTAGGAACCACAATTCTTCAAAAATATCACTTTTTTTTAGGGCTCAAGGCATCTAAGTGTAACCCAGGAGCCTTTACCTCCCAGGGCCAGAGAGTCAATATATATTTCACTTTGACATATTCTCTAATAAGACCATATATAGTTCACCTACTGATAACTCCATGCTCTTCCATTTTACTCCTTAACATCTTCACATCATTCTTATGTCAGGTGAGAATTAACCTTATTATTAAAAAGATGTCCAGGGGAAAAGATTCTACCACTTTCCTCAGTTACACATCCAGTAAATGAGATGAGAAAAATTTAAATAATGGTAAATAAACATCAAGAGCTTACAGGAGAACAAATGATAGCAGCTTCCTGATTGCTGCTACATCCAGACCATTGCTTCCATAAAAGTTTTCAATCTTCCTTCACTGAAATTTCTATTCATAAAATTAAATTTAAATGCTTGTAGAAATGGTCTAGTTATTTTATAGTCTTAAAAGTCCCTTTCCTTTTTGAAATCTTATTTGAAAACATGAATACTTGAGAAATATTTAGGCTTTTCCCTCATTCTTCATCCTCAAAAATTATAATACAGAAATCAAGAACTGTGGCAATGCATATCATATATAGCACGATTTGTGGAAAGAGCAAAAGATTTCTAGATACCACTATTAATAAAATGTAAATGTGTCCCTTCTAAAAGTTCGTTCCTACTTTTGGGGTTTTAGTGAGTAGTCTAATAGTTGGATTTTGGTTCTATAGCAGAAAATGCTGTTCCTATGGTTAATTCAATGGGACACATATTAACGATCTTCCCAGAGAGGCTGAGGCATAGATTTGCAGCTGAGGCTCAGTCCGTCCATGTATAATGGGGAATCTCTCCAAAGACTGATACATACACACGGGGAACAGGAACAAGTATGATGACACTATCTATATACATAGCTTTACTATCATCTGGTTTCAGGTTTTGCTTTTTAAAAAGTATAGGAGAGGCCTTCCACTGATCTTGAAGAATTTTTCTATGCCTTACCTGATAGAATCTGATCTCATGAGGTAGAAAGATGTTTATTTTCTTGGGATCTCTTAAGGTGTCAACAGCCAAGACCCCAAATATCCTCATATGTGCATCTTGAAGAGGCAGCGCCAGGAATGACCCATTTTGATCATTCTTCTTGCGGGAATAGTTCCAAAAGAAGATGTTCCCATGGTGCTGAACTTGCGGGACATGTATTGGCTTCCCTTCATCCACTACTGTAAAGCTGAGGAATAGGATTATGAGGATGGGAGACAAGCACATGAGGAGGCTTTAGATTAAACCATGAACGACTCAATCCATTCATAATCATTAGTAGTATATGTCAGAGAAGTAGATTGAGATAAAATTACCAGTTTGGAGGCTCTGACTGGAGAGAAAGATTAAAAAAACAAGCTTAGTTCATAATAGAGAAAACATATATCAACAGGATGCAGGAAACATAACTTATAGAGAAGACAGAAATAATTGAGCTGATACTGTGAAGCAGAGTCCTGACGTGGACAATTAATGCCTACGAGTGAGCTCTAGAAGCAACCAGGTGAAATTCAAGACTGGATACCCATCACCTCCCACTCTAGCAGCTTTGGTGACCTAGGCATTTCTCTTTTGGGCAGCTAACTAGGATTTTGATACTAGTTTACTTCAGAAAAGGAATTATTTCTTTTAGAAGGGTGAAATCAACCTCTTCAAGAAATTCTTACCTGATCCCCTTCATGTCCCTGTAGAGCACTCTATTCAATACAAATGGAGCATCGTCTAAAGTACAAGCTACGTTCCTCAGCATAACATTCCCTCTATCAGGCAGTAGTAGGTTTTCTTCTAAGAGGGAGATGTGAGCACTGATCTTCTTATTTCCATGGGCTTCAGCATCCTATGGCAAAATGTTTCTGACCATTTATTTGCCCAGAGCCAAAGAGCTATTCTCTTAATCATGTCTCCCTTCATTAGCCAATTTATGCCTCTGACCCCAATAATTTCATTTTCCTGAATAACTAATGGAGATATTACCATTCATGGGCAGTGGGAAAAAGGCCAACACCACAGCTGTTCCTGAAACCTGAGTTTTAGTGAATGGAATAGATTTACTTTATATGCCAACCAGACTGATTTACTAAAAAACAAACAAACAAAAAAGAAAAAAACTCAAGTCTACTTAAATTTAGAGGTTTAAAACTTTAATCCTTTTGAACCATAGTCATGTTGTATGGGCTTCAGTTAAAAGTGCTTATTTTAGAGAGCTGAGGCGAGAAGATGACCTCATTTCATATTTCTTGACCATGATGTGAATGTGGGAAAAAAATGCTCTCAAGAAATTCTTAACATAGTTTGGCTATGAATTTGAATTACATCATTTCAGGAAGGGATTACTTGGGGCCCCAGATTGCAGACTTTTTACGCAACTACTATTTTTAATTAAAATAGAATAACTGAAAAGTCTCTGTACCTAAAATATTTTGTTGGTAACATTAGGTGTTAACACATACATTAAGTATGCCCATAAATTGGGGACATTAGAGACACTTTCTCTGATATTTGTCTCTTTTTTTTAATTGATGTATAGTTTACAATGTTGTGTCAGTTTCTGGTGTACAGCATGTTTCAGTCATACATATACATATAATCGTTTTCATATTCATTATAGGTTACTATGAGATACTGAATATAGTTCCCTGTGCTATGTTTCCTCTTTCTGTATATTTGGATTTGCTTTTTGAGCTTTTTTTCCCCCTCTTCTGCCTTGATTCTCCCTTTTCTATGTAGATCAAGAGACTAACAAAAATGTAGTAAGATGTCTCTTAGGATACTGTAGATCTCTGAAGCAATTTGGAGCAATACCTCTTCTTGATTGGTCTCCTGTTCCTGGTCACATCATTTCCAACTACGTTGGAAAATCCAACCATTCAGGAGATGAGTCCTACAATCAAGTGTTGCTATTTAGCTGAGATGAATGACAGTTTCCGTGGATCAATGGAATATACAGAAGACAGAGGTACTGTTCCTGCCTGGGAGGAGCAGCAAGCTGGGAATGTATGAGTGGGCAGCAGAGCTGTGGACAGTGGTCCATCCAGGTCATGTCTTTTAAGTGACAAGATTCTGTAATAGTCTCAGCTTATTTCTAGGTAGTGCTATGAAATATATTACGTCATATTGAATTCTACTTTATAATGACTTTATGATTTAAATAGTTCCTTTTAAAACTGACTTTCAAAACATCATACAAGGGAAATGTAGCTTAAACAGCTTGTACATCTCCTTACTGGTATTTTTTTTTATGTCAGTTTATTGTCTGTTCCAGTCTTATTTGACTCTCAGCACAAATGAAATTAGAAATCCCAAGATGTAATTCTGTTTCTTATACCTTTCCTCTCTGCATCTACCTTGGCAACCTCCAATCATTCCAGTTGTGTTCTTTCCTAGGTTTGTGGTCATTGTAATGTATTGGAATGAATAAAACATCTATAGTAGTACTCAGCGATTTCTCAAGAGAATTTAGTGTATTCCTCCTTTGCAACAATTGAACATCACCTACTGTGAGGAAATTTTTTCTCTTATATGTCATTTTAGAAAACACACCTGGGTGAGGGCCTTAAAGGTCTCTGTATACACTGGCTCCAAGGATACTCCACTTGTCTCTGCAGAATATTGGATTTGGTGTAGCCATTTTTGTCTGGCACAGTTCCTCAGACTTTCAGCATGGTTCCTTTCTAAAGTATTCATCAGAAACTCCACAATGCTTTCCAGTACCTGATCTTCATTGCCCCTGAGTTCAGATACAACCAATTCTATGTATTTCTGAAACTGTTTTGAAGACAACTTCACTTCGTGACCAGGGTGTGGCTTTGGAAATTGGATGTGTAGTTTAGCTAAAAGACATAAATACAAAACCAAGAACTAATCAAAGTTCATTCATCTCTGGGGGAAATTTTTTATTTTCCTCTTACAGCAAATCGAAGTTCCTGACAACTACTTCCCATGGAAAACCATGTATATCAAAAGTATCTCTAAACCCAGTGGAGTATCTTTCACTAATTTCTTATGCTGAACTGAAGATGACTCCTATGTCACCTGCTTTTATTTTTTTATTTTTTAAAATTCTGCCACTCAGCTGGGTGAAACTCCAAGGTCAACTTCAACTCCTTTCTACCTTTTACCTTCCATATCCAATAGACCACTTAATCCTGTTAGTCTTTAGCAATCTATCTTGCGGCCACAAAAGACGTACACAACATATTTTGCTCTTCTATGCAACATTATGCTACCATCTCCACCCAAGTTGTTCCTGTAGCTGTGGCTTGTTCATTTCCCCCACTACAGACTACGTCCTTCTGTGAGTATGCCACTATTGACTCATCTATCCTCCCATCAGTGGGTATGCAGGTTCTCTCCAGTATTTTATGAACAGTGCTATGAGCATTTTTGTATATGTCTCCTGGAGTACATGTGCAAGCTTCTTTGACATTTATCATAAAATAATAAGTCAGAGAGTATGTGCCCTTCCCCTTTGAAATTCAGAATCTCTCCTTTTTCAAGAAGGCTTCCATCATGATTTCTCCTTCCCCTGAAAGACAATAGTATTCATTTATTTGACAATGAACAAATATTGCCTGGTACTTTTAGTCATCTTATCATATGAAAACTTCTCATTTCTGTAGTTCTGATTTTTAAAATTTTTGCTCCTTAGTATCCACTCATCCTTCTGGTGGTACTTGTATCCCAATATTTGCTTTAAGGAAACCACTCCACTCCCATCTTGGTTTATGTGTTTGAGTGGGGTTCCACTCAGGGGCAATGAAGATCACGTTCTAGATAATGTTCATGGTTCTAGAGGTGGAGCATGCATCTCAAGCTTAAGCCAGTTGGGACATTCTATACCACTAGCCAGAGGGTTGATTTAGCCCATACTAATGCTAGACTTTTTGCTTGAAAGATTACAAAGTGGACGTTTTTGTTTTTATTCCACTGGACTTGAATAAACCTCTGAGGGTATGAGACTGCGTCTGGTCATTGCAAAGGGAGAAGCTGTATGAAAATGAAGTCAAAACATAGAATACAGGAGGGCCACTGAAAGAGAGAGAGAGAGAAAGAAGTAGACACCTGCTCTAGTGTCAGTATTTGAACTCCCAAACCCAGTTGTGTCGTCAGCCAGCCCTGGACTTATCCATTGCACGAACCGGTAAAGAACATTTTTGCTTAACCACTTTGGGCTGGGTTTTCTATTACCTAGACTCAAAGGGTCCTAACTGATATAGTCTCCAATTGGATTAAAAGTATCTTGTGAGTTCCTCCTCTTCCATTTCTTCTTCTCCTTTCCTTTCCCTCTTGAACAATTTGGTCCTAAAGCTATTAGATGGGGCAGAGCAAAGGAAGCATCTATCTGCTCCTGGTCAAGGGAACCATGGTGACCCAGACCAGGGTATAAGAATCTAAGTAGGGTAAGGAAGGCATATGTGTAGTAAGTGGCTTGACATGGGTTGTCAGAGTCTGAGTAGCATATGGAAGTCACCATGTGTAAGGGTGATCTTCAGCCCATGTGAATGAAGAGGCCCTGCAGAAAGGTGGTTTAACTTTATATATTTCACAATATATAAGTGTATCAAATCAACACATCATATACCTTAAACTTACAAGATGTCACATGCCAATTATATCTCAATAAAGCCAAAAAAATTATAGCCACACTAGTAGGTGTGAAGTGGTATCTCATGGTTTTAAAACAACCAGTTTTTAACTGTATATATGCCATAATACTGGGAAACTTGAAGCCAAATTGTTACCACAACTTAAGAAAATTCTTATATTTTTACCTTTCTTCATAGATTCTTTTTCCATTCCCTCCTTGTATGTGTACAAGAGTTCATCAACTTCCTTCAGATCCAGGAAGCCTGAGCCGTCACTGTCCCACTTCTGAAAAAGGGCTTTTAGGAGAAGTTCCCTTCGGACTCGGGAAGCATTTTGTCTAGCCTAGTATTCAAACAGGATAACAAAGCACGGAAGATATATTGTTCATTGCACTAGCTGGCATCCTATGCTTAGTCCCCTCAAAGTGCAGCACTTTTTATAGAAACAGCTTTACTTTGGGATTAAGCATGATATTAATGGGAAAATGAAGCATTTAATTTTAATCCTTTAAATATCATTTCTTTGTTTCACCTCTAAGCGAAAAAGCAGGCATTCTCTGCATTGAACTAAGACACATTAATTTAGGAAGGGGGCTACACTCCTTAGAAATCTTTGATTCATTTCTTCCCACTCCCTTGCTGGTTTTTCAGGAATGTGATAAACACATGGAGATACACACATGTGATAAACACACTCTCTCTGGCTTTTTGATGGAATACATTTTGTAGTGATAGGGGATAAATGACAGTGTTCAAACAACAGAAAATGACTATGTTAAAAAATTCTTTTTTATATTTAACATTGACCTAGCTAGATATTAATTTCATTTACCTTTCAGATTTTTTACTAGATTAATTATGTCAACTAGATAGTAATTTAATTAATCTAGGTAGAATTCATTGCTAAAAGAAAGTGAACATATATCATTTGGTTAAGTGGAGGTGAATTGCAACTGAGGATGCAAAAGGGATATCAACTTTTGGTTAGGTTGAGAAGACTCATAAGATGGATGAGGTTACTGAATATGCCTAGTGAACCTACTTTATGTATTCCATATAAGAGTATATAAATAGTTTATATCAGCTAATGTATTTCCATTTATCTATCATCCAAGTAAGTAATAAGTTCTCAAGAAATAGGTACTACCTTGGTGCATGTGAATAAAAATACATATTCAAGCCACAATTGTACCCCCATGTATGTGCACTTATTAATGCACTAACGGCAGACAGTGCACACACATACACACACGTCTTTGTACATACACATAATCTGCTCCTCAGAATCTGCTCTTCAATCTTCAGAAGAGCAAACACAAAGCTGTATAATAAACCATTTCCCGCCATCAGCAATTATGTTATTACAGGGGAATGCGTTCTCTCGAGTGTGAGTTTAGAACATTTGACGATAAAATGAAGAATTTAATGGCCATGCTCGTTGAAGTAAAGTGATGCGTTTGGTTGTATATTATTTAAGAAGAACTACACTAGGAGCAACTGAGATTCATAGATTTTTTTTATAAGTGACCTCACTTGTTTCACTAATAAATAATATTACTTACCTGTTCTAAGGCACTAATTTTCTCTTCTTTTGTTTCAACAAAGCCCTTCTTGAAAAAGGAGGTGAGGGCCTCGCTGACACTCAAGGGAGCATCTTCACCAACAAATGTCTCCAGAAGTTGCACAAACTGGAGCAGATTGAAGGAAACTCCATTGAAGGCACTCCTACCTTTTACTTCCTTGTAAGACTGAATATTTCGGATAATTGCGTGTAGGTCTATCAAGCAAGAAACATACATCAAACAGTAAAATAAATAATTTTATCAAAGCTCAGGAAAATTATATGAGTACTGATTGTAATGTACGTTTACTACTTTTTGTCCTGTCAGGAATCCATGCCCCCTTCATGAGGACAGCACCCTCCTTTTTTTCCTTTGGGAAAACATCTCTCCCCGCGTTGTCAGTTTAGATGTATCAGGTAGTACTGAGCCTCCCCTTGCTTCAGGGACAGCCATGTGATATAGGTCTGGCCAATGACTCATATATGACAGCAATGTAATCTACTATAGGCCAATGAGAATTCGCTCCAGAACTTTTGGGGGAACTACTAGGGGAGAATCACTCTTCTTGTACTCTGATTCCTGAACTAGTAGGATGTAGGCTTAGAGATGCTCTCCTGGACATCTTTGCCACAATATAGAGAAAACTACCTAAAACTGAAATTTACACAGAGAACAGGGCCAGAGGCAAAGTGACAGTGTCCCATTGCTAGTATTGAGCCTTGGATTCAGTTTTGCCTGAAGCCAGCTGCCGCTTGGACTTGCTAGTTAAATAAGTATGTAAATACCACCACTACAACCTCTTCTGCAGAGTCTTGACTAATATATTTATCTTAAAGCTCAATGTTATAACATGAAGCATATTTCATGAAAGAGCCCCAGTGATTTGTTTGATTTATTAACTAATTCAATTATTTGTGCCCTTATGCCTTCCATATGAGATCTGACTTGACTTAAAAATGATCATTCATGGGAGGAGGGTATAGTTCAGTGGTAAAGTGAGTGTTTGGCATGCACGAGGTCCTGGGTTCAATCCCCAGTACCTCCATTAAAAAATAACAACAAATAAATAAACCTAATTATCGCCTCCTGCAAATGATCATTCATGCAATTTTCAAAGTGGTGAAGCTAAAATGAAATAAAGAAATTAGGCCAGGAGAGTAGGAACATGAACTAGCAATCCACAAGAGCTTGACCAATAGCATGCAACTGCACCAAATATTTTGAGAATACAAAGGTCCTTATTCAACCCATGTTTAAACGAGAAAATATTTGCAGATAGAAAGAAAATAACCTTGATCTTATAAGTTCTACTACTTGATGAAAGGTGAAGTGATAAAATAGCATTGTAGTAAAATATGAGTACTTGTTGGAATAATTGTTATTTTTAAATACATGGTTTACTGAGAACTAAAAGCTACTCTTTGCTCTCTCTTTTGAGTAGATCTTTCTTTATAAGTCTTCAAAAACAAGATAGATCCTCACCTGCCTCACACATTTGGATGTGGAACCACCAGAGAGAGGAATAGCTGGAATGATTTCTTTTGTTCTAATATCTAATATCTGATTCCCTTTGTATACCTGGATCATAGCTTCAAAGTGGTTTCAGTGACAGCAAAAATTATTGTATACAGTTGGCCCTCCATATCTGCAGGTTCTGCATCCATGGATTCAACCAATCATGAATTGAAAATATTGAGAAAAAGATTTTCCAGAAAGTTCCAGAAAGCAAAACTTGAATTTGCCACTGCCTACAAGTATTTACATAGCATTCACATTGTATTGATAACTATTTACATAGTGTTTACACTGTATTAGCTATTACAAGTAATCTAGAGATGACTGAAAGTATATAAGAGGATGTACATAGGTTATATGCAAATTCTGCCCCATTTTATATAAGGGACTTGAGCATCCTTGAATGTTGGTATTTGTGGGGAAGTTTGGGGGGTAGTATCCATGGAGACAATCCTCTGCAGATACTGAGGGATGACAATATTAATGCATATGGTTTAGAGAGCATTCGTCAATAGCACTATATGTACAATACCACCAAAAACAGTCATCTTGAACATGTTTAGATCCATCAGCTCAGGGACAAAATAATGCAAGTATCACCCTGTCATTGTGTCTTGGGTAAAGTCCAGTCTTTATTATCGGGTACCACAGTAAATTAAATTCATCAATTGGAGTGCTATCTATTACTCCTAGTTTTGTTGTTAACATCTACCTGTGAACCTGGAGTTACCATAGATTAAGTTTGCTTGTTCCTCATCTTCACATTTAGCATACTTCGTGTTCCAGGTACAAGTCAGAAGTTCACCTATAAAATACACGTTCCATAATATAGCCAACTTAAATTAACTTTCACAATGTTTTTGCTCTAGAGCATGAATGAAAGGAGGATTAAATGAAGAGTCACCTGACCATGACTTTCCTTCTATTTTTTGGGATTTGGGTTCACAGGATTTGTCTTTCTGAACTTCCTTTTTTGCAGTTTCTAAAAGGCACAAAAGAAAATGTCTATTAATTGGACATTATATACTCTATTATATATACTAAAGTTAATAAATGAGAGAAATGCCTTGCATGTAGAACACCAAAAACTTTCTTTCAGGTACTTTCCTATATATATGTATAGTGTCATAATCAACCACAATGGTATCAGTTAATAACTTTAGTTGATCAGAACAGATCTGTGACAAAGGCTATTTGTTGTACCCAAATTTGGCCATGCAAAATGAGGGCTATATTTTCTATCCTCCCTAGCAGTTAGGTGTCACTGTATGCCTCAATTCTGCCCACTGAGCTGTGAAGGGAAGTGATGTGATGCCTGTCCTTTCTCCTTTCTCCTCACTTGCTGGTCAGAATGTGGACATGGTGGTGAGCTACCTTGGACCATGTGGTTGGAGGAAACACAAGATAGAAGGAGCTTGAGTCACTGCTGATTTCATGGGGCTGAGCTGTCATATACCTTTTGAATTTCATACAAAAGAAACCCCTATCTTGTAAGACATTGTTATTTCGTTCTGTTTTTGTTTGTTTTTTAGATACTATCATTTAAAAAATTTTTTAAAGAGTGACATTTATTTATTCAGGTTTTGTGTGTATGTATATGGGGGAGGTAATTAGGTTTATTTATTTCTTTATATGTAGAGGAGGTACTGGGGATTGAACCCAGGACCTGGTGCGTGCTAACCATGCACTCTACCACTTGAGCTATACCCTCCCCACTAGACATCATCATTTTGGATCACTTACATATAGCCAAAATTAAGTCCTCACTAATATAACATCTGATTGAATAGTAACATCACTAATTTTTTAACTGTATCCCTACTATGTACAGAGAGCCAGAAATTAGTAGCTTTGTTTTGTGGAGAAATAAATATAACGCTGAAAAAGTGAAAGATTTTAAATTATTGATGTAGAATCTAGAACACAGGTTATCTTATTGCTTAGGAATTTTAAATAAGAATTTTCTTTGGGACTGTGGAACTTTAGAATTAAAGAGTAGAGCTAAAAAAATTATGCCTAACTGATGCTCTAAGTAGCATTGAAAATTGGCTCTCTAAAAGATTAGAAATTCTTCAATAAAAAGGGCATAAATTGGCATAGGTAATTCAGAGGGAAAGTCTTCTGCAGAATAAATATTTGAAATGCAAGTTGCTTTCTGTCTTAAATATGACTCCCAGAGACTCTTCTAGAACATCTTATATACAAACGAAAAAAGTGAGATACTTTTAAAATTTGAAATCAAATAAATTTTTAAAAGTGGTTTCTAGTATCAGACACCACATTTAAAACAAAAGGACTTCTACTTCCCTTTCATAGTCCAATGAAAATTTCCACATGTAACAGTACCAGAGTTCTTCCTTACAAGTGGCTTCTAGTGTAAAAGGAATTCTAGGTAAATTGACAACAGAGACTTTCTGATTTGCATGTAATTGACTGCTCAAGGTCTAGACTCATGTTGAGTAGCAAAACAAGTCTGAAGTTTGCGTGACCTTATATGTCAGAAAAAGATCCTAATGGAAATAAATATTTTCTGAAAAGACTTTAAAAATCACTCTACAAAACAAGGGGCTGATGTAGGAAAAATGTGTTACTACCTGAAAGATGACTTTTTCTGTTTGATACTGAAATTTTCTCTTGCAGTTCAGAATTCATGAATAGATGCTCTTCATATATTTGTTCCTGAGTCCTTTCTTCCTGTGGAGGGACTTTAATGTCCTCAAAGGAAATATCCTCCCTAGATTTTTTACTTTCTATTAAGATACCACTTTTTCTTGATTGTGAAGTGGAGTCTATGTCCTGTTGTTTTTCTGGAATTGTCTCTCTGTGTGGTTGTTGTTCTGCAGTTGACCCTCTGCGTGGTCCTTGTCCTGTTACTGACTCTCTGCGTGGTCTCAGACCTGCACTTGACCCTCTGTGTGGTCCTTGTTCTATTACTGACTCTCTGCTTGGTCCCTGTTCCTCAGGTGACTCTCTGTGTGGTCCTTCTTGTTCTATTACTGATTCTCTGTGTGATCCTTGTCCTGTTGTTGACCTTTCATATTGTCCTTGTGCAATTATTGACTCTCTGTAAAGTCCTTGCTTTGCAGTTAATTCAGCATGGATTCCTTGCAATAGTCCTTGTTCTGGTATTGACTCACTATGTGGTGTTTGTTCTGTTATTAACTCAGTACCTGATCCTTGTTCTGGAGTTGACCCTGTGTAGGTTCCTTGTTTTGCTACTGATTCCTTGTACAGTTCTTGATCTCCAGTTGACTCTCTGTCTTGTTCTTGTTCTTTGGTTGAAATTCTGTCTGGTTCTTGTTCTACAGTTGTCCCTCTCTGCTGTTCTGGTGGGCTTTGTGGTAGTGTTGATTTTCTACGTTCATCATGTTTATGCTGATCTTCCAGATTTGCTAATAACTTACTTTGGGTTTTGCTAGCATGTTTGTTGGAAAGTAATATATTCATCTCTAAGAGCACGTTGTCAAAGTCTTCATAAATGTGTTTCTGATTATCCATGTCTCCCCAGAACTCAGGCAGGTCTATCTCTCCAAATTCAATGAATGGCCCTAATGCAGAAAACAAAAAATTTACCTAAACAACTGAGCTTATAATGCAGAATCAGAGCTAGTAAATTAATGTGAAAAAGCAATAGGCACAGTGATTGTAATACAGGCCTATTGCTTTGAATAAATATCAATTACCTTTCCCAGCAATGTGATAAAAAGCAAAAAGGCATCCAGAGGAACATAAAAGATGCTCACTACTATAAATTAGAAATAATCCCTTCCTAAAAGGTATGGTTATGGGAATGAACATGATTCTTTTGCTACTTGGGGAGTTCCTTAGACTGCCAAGGCAAATAGAATTTATCCTCTACTCTTGGCCCTCCAACAATAAGCATAGCATAGGGCTGAGGAAACAGACAAGCATCTTCCACCTCAACTATCTTTTCAATATCTGCAATGTCAAAATAAAAGCAAGTCTCTGAAAATCTTTTACTGAGTTATATTTTTCCAATATTCATTTTCTCTATGTTCCCTTTTCCCTGTTTCTTTCTTCTTCATTCCTCAATTCTTTTTCTCCATAACTTATGCGGACCCCTGGTTCAGAATTTTAGGGAAAGCATTTATGAGAATCCCACTGTTAAAGAGCAACAACAGGAAAATAACCCTGATGTTCAGGGTTATAGACAATGGAACTCATGCTACAAGACTGTCCCTCTTCTTCCCAAAACATTTAGTATTTAAGCTCTAAAACTGTGATTCCCACAATTTTCAGGAATCCTCTATGTACATTACCCATAGATTTTTAAGTATTAAGTAATACATTTTCACACAGTAGTAAATTACTGACATTCTTTGGAAAACCCATCCATTCAAAGGCTTTCTCTTTAAAAAAATAAAAATACAGCCCACAATCCTATTTGTTTTGGTAGTAATATACAAAAGATATTTTTACTGTGTAAGCACAATAAAGGTGTATAAGTAAAAATGCTTGAGAGAGAGAGGTGTTGCCAAGATGCCAGAGAAGGAAGACCCTGAGCTCACCTCCGCCCATGGGCATACCAAAATTACAACTATTTACAAAGCAACTGTTCATGAGAATGACCTGAGACTAGCAAAAAAAAAAAAAAAGATTTTCCACAACTGAAAACATAAAGAAGGAATCACAATGAGACAGGTGGGGAGGGGCAGAGATATGGTTAGGTCAAGACCCATAACCCCAGGGAGGCAACCCACAAAAAAGAGGGTAATTACAATTGCAGAGGTTCTCCCCAAGGAGCAAGGGGTCCAAGCCCGACATCAAGATCCCCAGCCTAGAGGTCCAGCACCAGGAAGATGAGTCTCCAGAAGATGAGCCCCCAGAACATCTGGCTTTGAAGGCCAGCAGGGCTTATAAATGGGAGAGGCAGAGGGCTATAGGAAGCAAGAGACTGAGCTCTTAATGGTCATGTGCAAAATCTCAACAGTCTAACACCCAATACAGATGCAGTAATTTGAAAGGAGCCTGGGTCAGACCTAGTTGCTAATCTGGAGAGGAAGGAGGCAATTGGGACTTCTTTTGGAACACAGATGCTGGTGGCAGCCATTTTAGAGAGCTTTCTCTACCAGAAAGACACTGGTGCTGCCAAGCATCATTTTGGAGTCCTCTCTTTAGCCTGTTACCACCAAAGGCTTACCCATTCCCCAGTGGGCCAGCACCAGCTCTGGGTAACCCCTGGGACCTGCAGCCAACTACATGGCGACCCAGCCCTGCCCATTAATGGGCTGGCACCAGTCCTGGGACCATATGGGCTGTGCAGCCAGCCATGCTAGGACCCAGTCCCAACCATCAGTGGGCCAGCACCAGCCCCAGAACCCCCTGGGCCATGCAGCCAGCCACACCAGGACCTAGCCCAACCCACCAGTGTGCCAGCAGCCACATCATGAGGCAGGGCCTGGCAGCCAATCAGGCCAGGGTTCTGCCCTGCCTACCAGCACACATTCAATAGTCAGCCCTGACATAAAGAAGGGCCCACACAGCCCACATAGAGCATATAGCTCTGGTAAACAGAGGCGAGTGTACTGCTGGGATGTCTTCTACATAAGTCCACTTCTCTAAGATCAGGAAACATAAAGTACCTACCTAATACATAGAAATAAGCACAGAGAATTAGGCAAATATACAATAAAAGTAGTAAATCAATCACTTACAAAGGTAGTAGGAAGGTTAAAAGACAAAAATAGTAAAATCATCTATATCCATAATGAGTAGTTAAAGGATACAAAAACATTAAACATGAGTGGGTGAGTAAAACTGAAGGTTGTTAGAACATGTTTGAACTTAAGGGATCATCAACTTAAAATAATCATGTATACATAAGTAGTTATATATGAACCTTAGGATAACCACAAACCAAAAATCTGTAATAGATATACATACACACAAAGAGAAAGAAATCTATAAAGTAAAGGTAATAATCAAAGATAGTGATAATCAAATTGCAAGAGAAGAGAGCCAAAAAAGAACTTCAAAAACAGCCAGAAAACAAATTTTTAAATGGCAGTAAATACATTCCAATGAATAATTACTTTAAAAGTAAATGGTCTAAATGAATCAAAAATCATACAATGACTGAACAAATATAAAAGCAAGACCTGTATCTATGCTACCTACATAATAAAGGCCATATATGACAAACCTACAGCTAACATCATGCTCAATGGTGAAAAGCTGTAAGCATTTCCTCAAAGATCAGGAACAAGACAAGAATGCCTACTCTCACTATTTTTGTTTAACATAGTATTGGAAGGCCTGGCTACAGCAATAAGACAAGAAAAAGAAATAAAAAGAATTTAAATTGGAAAGGAAGAAGTAAAACTGTCACTCTTTGCAGATGACATGATATTATATACAGAAAATCTTAAAGGCATCACAAAAAATCTAAGAACTAATAAATAAATTCAGTAAAGTTGCAAGATATAAAATTAATATACAGAAATCTGTTCCATTTCTGTACACTAACAATGAACTATCAGAAAGAGAAGTTAAGGGAACAATACCATTTACCACTGCATCAAATAGAATAAAATACCTGGGAATGAATCTAATAGGAAGGTAAAAGACTGGTACTTGGAAAACTATAAGACACTGATGAAATAAATTGCAGATGACACAAATGGAATGATATACTGTGTTCATAGACTGAAAGAATCAATATTGTTAAAATGATCATACCACCCAAGATGATCTACAGATTCAATGGAATCTCTGTTAAAACACTAATGACATTTTTCACAGAACTAGAACAAATAATTCTAAAATATTTCATGAAAACACAAAAGACTCTTATAGCCGAAACAATCTTGAGAAAGAACAAAGCTGGAGACATCACATACCCTGATTTCAAAATATTCTACAAAGCTACAGTAATCAAAACAGTATATTACTGGCATAAAAACAGAATGGAGATCAATGGAACAGAATAGAGAGACCGGAAATGAACCTACACTTTTATTGTCAATTACTCTACAAAAAAGAAGGCAAGACAGCCTCTTCAATAAATGGTTTTGGGAAAAATGGGCAGCTATATGCAAAAGAATCAAGCTGAATTACTCTCTCACACCATATACAAAAATGAACTAAAAATGGATTAAAGATTTAAATGTAAGACCTGAAAACATTAAACTCCTAGAAGAAAACATTGGCAGTATGCTCTTTGACATCTTTCTTAGGGGTATATTTTTGGACATGTCTCCTCAGGTAAGGTAAACAAAAGCAAAAATAAACAAATGGGACTACAGCAAACTAAAAGCTTTTGTACAGCAAAGGAGACTATCAACAAAACAAAAAGGCCTACTGAATGAGAGAAGATATTTACAAATGATATATCTGGTAAGGGGTTAATATCCAAAACAAAGAATTCATACAAACCAACATTAAAAAAACAACCTGATTAAAAAATGGACCTGAACAGACTTTTTTTTCCTAAGGAAGATGTACAGATGGCCCACAGACAGATGAAAGATGCTCAACATCACTAATCATCAGGGAAATGCAAATTGAAACTACAATGAGATACCACCTCACACCTGTCAGAATGTCTATCACCAAAAAGACAACAAATAATAAGTGTTGGCAAGAATGTGTAGAAAAGAGAACCCTCATGCACTATTGGCGATATTGTTAATTGGTGCAGCAGTTATGGAAAACAGTATGGAGATTCCTCTTTAAAAACAGAACTGCCATATGATCCAGCAATTTTACTTCTGGGTATTTACCTGAAGAAAACAAAAACAGTAATTTGGAAAGATATATGCACCTCAATATTCATTACAGCATGATTTATGATAGCCAAGATATGGAAGTAACCTAAGTGTTCATCAACAGACAAATGGATAAAGAAGATGCAATATATACATACACACACACACAGACACACACACACAGAGGAATATTACTCACCCATAATAAATGAAGTCCTGCCATTTGCAACAATATGGGGGTGATAAATAAGGCAGACAGAGAAAGACAAATACTGCATGATTTCACTTAAATGTGAAATCTAAAGTGCAAAACAAACAAGCAAAACAAAACAAAAACAGACTCACAGATACAGAGAACAAATGGGTCTTTGCTAGCAGGGAGGCAGTTGTGGCGTGGGTGAAACAGGTGAAGGGAATTAAAAGGTATAAGTCTCCAGTTATATAATAAATAAGTCATGGGAATGTAATATACAGAATAAGGAATATGGTCAATAGTATTGTAATAACTTTGAAGGGGGACAGATGGTTACTAGACTTATCATGGTGATTATGTCCTAATGAATGAAAATGTCAAATCATTATGAAGTACATCTGAAACTAACATAATATTGTACAACAATTATATTTCAATGAAAATGCTTCAGGAAAGGAAACATTTTTCTTAGAAATCTTAGAATTCCAAGTTGGACATTAAAACTGGAATTACCATTACCAACTTAATTTCCCAAATATCCAGACTGTCAATAAAGCACTCCTTCAACTGAGAATGAATTTAAAATTGAGTTCTAGAAGACTTCTGACCTAACAGCTTTTAGTATTGCACTATAGTGAAAAATACATCTAGATGTGATGAAGAGTGAATTTTGGGGAATGAAGAACTAAATGCAGCTATCATGATCTAAGGGAGATGTTATATGAAGGGATTCCATGGGGATAGAATGACCTCGTATTATTGTATCAGTGTCCTGCATCACACCAGCTTGAGCATACTCCCTCTGGGTGGCACTTACACTGTCTTGGGTTTCTGAGTAAACTTCGGAGCACTTCTGAACTTTGGTCATAGAATGTTTCCAGCAAGGCCAATGTCCTCTGCCGATCCAAAAACCCTACCTAAGCAGAAAGTTTGCAATTAGCTGTTATAGGAGATTTAAAATTTTTATGTAGATGGAATATTGAAGATATCATCATCACCACCAGCACCATAATCATGTAAATAAAAGCTGCAAATCAAAATCAGGAAAGCTGTATCTTTCCTTTAGGCTTATACTCTACTTCCCCTTCTGTGACATGTCAAAATGCCTTGCACTTAGTAGGTGCTTAAATATTTGTTGTTACTGACTCAATTGCTAAAATCAATATATGATGTTCAGTTCTTACCTAATCTGATCTGTGTATGGCACTTGGAATAATTAACTGCTCCCTACTTGTTCTTGTTTTGCATTGTTTTCATCTTGAGAAAAAATTTAATTATAGAAACATACAGAAAATGATAAAACTAACACTTGTGTTCCCAACACCCAGAAATGATGTTTGTTAACATTTTACATATGTATTTTAAATACTGATATCATAGTACATGTGTCCTTGCTTTTACTTACTCAACATTGAGATCTGATTCATGTATGTAAAGAAATATATTTTATTCCTTTTAACTGTTGTATGGTATTCTATAATATGAAAACATCCTAATTTTTAGAAACATCCCTCTATGGATGACCATATATACTATGTAAGATCCACTCAGATAAAGATACAAAACATTTTCACCATCGCAAGAAGGTTTCTTCATGGTTTCTATTAGTCAATAATTCCCCTGAATGTACTTATTACCCTGATATTTATCACTATAGATTAGTCTTCTTAAATTTCATATAATTGGAATTATATAATATATACCCTTTTACTTAAACATAAGATAGGACACCATAAATCTCCTAGAAGAGAATATAGGCAAAACATTTTCTGACATAAATCGTAGCAATGTATTCCTAGGTCAGTCTACCAAAGCAATAAAAATAAAAGCCAAAATAAACAAGTGGGACCTAATTATACTTACAAGTTTTTGCATAGAAAAGGAAAGTAGAAACAAAACAATAAGACCATCTATGGACTGGGAAAAAATATTTGCAAATGACATGACTGATAAGGGATTAAGTTTCAGAACATACAGCTTTTAAAATTCAGTAACAAAAAAACCGAACAACTGAATCAAAAAATGGGCAAAAGAGCTAAACAGACATTTCTCCAATGAAGACATACAGATGGTCAACAGGCATGTGAAAAAAATGTTCAGTATCACTAATTATTAGAGAAATGCAAATCAAAGCTACAATGATACCTCATTTACACTGGCCTTACACTGGTCAGAATGACCATCATTAAAAAATTCACAAATAATAAATGCTGAAGAGGATGTGGAGAAAAGGGAACCGTCCTACTCTGTTGGTCAGAATATAAATTGGTACAGCCACTATGCAGGACAGTATGGAGTTTTCTTAAAAACTAAAATATACTTACCATATTATCCAGTAATCATACTCCTGGACATAACATCCAGAGAAAACTATAATTCAAAAAGACACATGCACCCCAATGTTCACAGCAGCACTATTTACAATAGCCAAGACATGGAAACAAACTAAATGTAATTGATAACAAATCAAATCTGAATCTGATGATAACAAAATACAGTTTGTATTTTGTATGTCCTATTCTCCTCCTAGTAATTCATTTTCATTATCAATCCACAACAGATTGGATATTAAAAATGTCACCATCAACAATGGCCTAAAAACTGGTCCTTCACAACAAATAGTCTGGGAAGCACTGCTTTAAGGGTCTTACCCTACCTTCCCACGGTCACAATGCAGGAAGAGTTCAGCGAACATCTGCTTCCTCATGTCAGTTTTGATGACTTCCCTGAATTCTTCAGCATAGTGGCAAAGGTGCTTAAGGAGCTCCTCAAACATTTCACTTTTAAAGTCTGCAATGTGTGAAGAGATGAACTGCAGAGAAAAAAAGGATAAATAACCGATACGAAACTGTGCTATTTACTTGGATTTTTCCCAAGGATTCAGTAGATGTGCATGAAATTATTGGCTGCAACTTTCCCCCATATCATCTACTTGTCACTTAGATAAAGCATTTTCCTGTTAGGGCTATTCTACAGGCTATGCTGCAGAGAGAGGCGAACAGTACAGCCCCAACACCATACACCAGTAAGACCAGGTATTTTTGGAACAACTTTCCTCTAGATCACATCAGTGTTATACGGGGCAGTTTTTAACCTCACAGTATGAAATAGCAACAGTCATAAAATGTTGCCTTTAAATTAATAGTTCTAAAACTTGAATGTAGTATTTCTTTTGATGCATGTGATATGAACATGTGTTTTCCAAGACTGGCTACATTTAACTGTTGGAGTATAAGGGACAGAGGATGTGGGGTTTTTTTTTGTTTTTGTTGTCTTCTGATATTGCAATAAGCTATCCTTTGCCTATGATTTGTTTTTTCTTTTGAAAGTGTAGAGTCTGAAAATATCTATGCTTTTGGGCCATTTCTCTGGAGCCCTGTTGAACAGATTCCCAGAAGGGGGATTGCTTGCTTAGAAGGTAAATGTATCTGTATTTTTGATAGGTTTTGACATCAGGCTTGTACCCTTTTGCACTCCCACCACTAATGTATTAGTTTCTCCTTGGCCTCATAATCAGTGTGTATTGTCTTCTAGATTTCTGCTAATTTGATAGGTCAGGAACATTACAATCTTGATCTACGCGTGACTGGAAGTCTCTTGTGGTAAAGAGAAATGGATCAAGCACTGGAAGAGTTTCTGAGTGGACTCCTGTTTAAGTGGTAGCCCAACTCACAAGTCAATGATTCTTCCTCTGCCACAAGCACAGTGACAGTCAAATTTGTACTGAATGATTCTGCTTCCATAGCCAGAAATAATCAAACCACGGGAAGATACTTAACCTAAACAAAGCCATTCAGATTCTCGACACTGGGAATTAGGAATTAGGACTGGAGAATGACCAGTTGGTCTCTAAGAGGGGGTGGACCTGTGAACATAACCTTAAGATTAGTTGGGTGTCCAGAGTCCTCCATGTGAACTAAGGATGTAGAAAAATCTGTAAATAGAGACAGATGAAATGGAAAGCAGAGAGAGAAGAGTCTTGTTCTTCCATTCCCTCTTCTAGTCTTTTCCCGAAGTCAGACCATATTTCTGCCTTTGGTTTCTGCACATTTCATTTTCAGCTATGTTAGCTAAGGCTGGTTTCTGTTTCTTGCAATTAAGGAATAACGACCAATACGGTTTGTTTAAAATGTATCATTTTTTGGACATATTTCATTAACATTTGAAATGAAGATTACAGCTGATATTTCACTTCCTCATTAATACCATCTAGGCAAATTTAGGATATATTATGTAAGAGATACATTAGGCTTGAATCCATGCTAAGAATCATAAGTCATTATTCAACTGGCATAGAGATCAAAAGAAGAAAATTTAAAGCAGACCAAAGGAGCTTTTCTAAATATTTCATTTCCTTGGATACCTAAACCTCCTAATTGTCATTATTCTTGATGGATCAATGAGCACAATTAAGTTCTTATCTGTTACCTTGGGAAGCAGAATAGCATACTGGTTAAGAACTCACATTTTGGAGCTTGTCTGGGTTCAAATACCAGTTCCCATATTTACTAGCTGAGTAAACCTGGACAAGTCACTGGACTTCCCAATTCCTTAATTTGTGAAGTGGGTACCACAGTAGCTGTCTCAGCGGGTCATGGAGAGGATCCTGTGTATGTACAGAGCATAGGTGTTTCACGCAGTAAGTTCTCTGCAGTCATTGCTCTTGTCTCCTCTTGAGTTAGGTAAGAAAGTGACCAAGAAAGTTTTCTTTATAGAATAAAAATCCTCTCAGCTAACATACGTATTTAGAAGGAAAAACCCAATGAGATCAATGGTTCTCAAAGTGTGGTCCCTTGGGAGCTTGCTAGAAATGCAAATTTGGGCACCCTATTCTAAGCCTACTGAATCAGAAATTGTGGGGAGACCCAGAATCTATGTCTTTAAAAGCCCTCTGGGTGATTCTTACGCTTAAATTCACTAAAGTTTGAACCAGATGATCTGGGGCAACTGGTCCTAATTATTTCAGCATTCTAAGATCCTATTATTCAATCCTTTGTGACTTTTTGCTTAAACAGGAGGTACTTTTAAAAATTACTGATAAGGTAGAATTATTGAATAATTGACATTTTCTGGCAATACTGTGGCTCAATCCTTTAATGCTGAAATAAAAATTACTGATTCATGAAAAGACACATCTTGTTTTATATTAAGCTTTTGGGAATTGACCTCAAAGCCATATGAGTTCTCTGGCTGTGGAAATGCTATTAAATCAAGAATTAATTTAACTGTTTCTCCAGGAGACACTTTAACATTCTGGATTTATAGCCTATGGGTTTTCTGAGTGAGCATGTTCTGTAAGCGTGGGCTATAAGACTAAAAGACTACCAGTTGCCAACGGAACTACAAATCAAACTCCAGATAGAATAATTATAGCAGTTTGCCAGAATCTCTTGTAAAAACAGAAAAAGTGAAAACATATGGTAGGCTTTGTGTTTTCATATCCTCCCAAGGAATGAATCAATTAATATCTATAAACTCCGAAATAATTGCTTAGATTAATTTAAGAATATAATTAACTACTAATGTCCTTCAGTTTAATCACTTTGTGAGCTGTTAAACATTTGAACTGTACTTAATCAAATTGTCTGTATGTGCTAGTCCAAATGTAATGAATTATAGGCTTTTCCTTTCTGACTTGGAAACCAAACTGTTGAGAATGTGGTAAATGTCACATTTAACAGGTTGGTAACTACCATTAGATTCTATAGCCTTGGGATTCACACATATTTAATTCCCACTTGTCCTTGGTGAGCAGGCGATGGGTGGCCAGAGTTTCCTCAATGATCAGATGGGAGATAAGGTCAAAGAAAATGAACTCCTCAATTAGAGTGACCAGCTGCCTCATTTTGCCTGAAAGTCTCATGTACTGAGAAATCCTTCAGTCAGTTCCAGGTAAACCAGGATGGTTTTAAATCCTCTTCTCTGATCCATGCTAATGGTCTAATCCAAACCTCTGGAAGCATGCTGTGCTGTATCCTTCTTTATATAATAAACTGTCTCTGTAAGTATCTGCAACGGAAACTTTGCAGCCTTTGTGTCTTTGAAATCTTTTTATCTCCATCCCACTGGGACAAACATAAACTATATAAAGGTGTTATAATTCTGTGGTATGCATTCACCCATTCTTGATCCTTTTATTGTATTTAGATAATCACAAGATAAGGAATATCTAAATGTTTACTATAGATAACTGGGAATGGTGAACACAAATGACAATATGAGTCAAGATTCTGGTGCCCAGAATGAGCAGAACTGATAAGCAGGAAACACATCCCTGGAGAACAGTCCTTTAAAAGGATTCACTCTTGTCTGAGAAAACTATACTTTGTATTACTTTGGAGGCAAGAGTTTAGGGGACTAACTATGAAATAGGATCAGGGAAAAAACATCTATCAGTCCAGAGCCAATAGATAGCACCAGTAGAAACAGAAGTGTGTCAGTCTCTGAAGCCCCCAGAGTTGGGAAGGATGATCTGCATTGATAAGAGGTCAGACTCTTTCACCTCCTCACTCCAGGGTCTTTGGAGGCTCTCCTCTACCCGAGGCCATCCCTATCCTTCACTCCATGAACCCTTGTTACACTAAAGGTCTTGTATACAGTCATCACCAATGGTTTAGAGATAAGAAAGTTCCTTTCCCTGATAATGTGTGGTGATGCTCTCTTCTTCAAGGACCATTTTCCCCCACAGAAATAGTTACTCTTATTAAGAACTCCATTTCAGGAACTTTGAAACCAAACACCCCAGCCACTATGCAATATATTGCTTCTATTTGGAAATGGATTTCAATTTCCAAACAACCAATCATCTTACAGAAACTGTTTTTTGGAGACGGGATACAGCCATTTGTGGAACTACCATTTAAAAAATTATGGGCACTTTGACAACTCAGGGTAAACTCTGCCTTAAAAAGCACTAAGAAAGGGGTGGAGGAAGGAGAGATTAAGAGTTTGGGATTAACAGATACACATTTAAAAAAACAATACTAAGAAAAATTTAGACAGATTTACCTCTTAGACTTCTCTTGAAAAAGATTATTAGGAGATTCTTAATCAAAACAAAGGGAATTTGTGGAGTTCAAAGAGTCCAGGAAATTATAAAAGAACCCTCTTACCTAAAAAGTTAACTATATTTTCTATAACCACATTAATGATGTTTAGTTAAAACAAATATACCTGAAATGATTTTCTTCTCTTTTACTTGAAATAGCTTTCTTTCTTTCTTAATTTGCTTACATTTTGATCCTTCCACTCCCTGTAGGCTACTCTGGTTCCACCCGGTGTATGTATGCACATGGACATAAATGCCTGCATACACCCACCCACAGGCACACTCCCACACAACAATGTATTATTTGGTCCTTAAGGGTAAGAAATACAACTCTAATTTTCACATCTTTCCTAGCACAGAGAGCAAATAATATACCTTTAAGAGACTGGAAGCAAATATTCTAAAACAGTTATTTTTAGTCTTCATTTACTCAAATAAAACAGATAAAAAGTAAGAGAGAGGTTATAGTCAACAAAAAAGATCATCTGTTCATTTATCCATCAGAAAACAGACATGCTAGGAAAATAATATACATTTGGAGTATCTGTGACCATTCATTCTCTCCATTTGTCTTTTCTCTATATTAATCATTACTCAGTGACTCCACTTTCTCCAAACAGGCTCCATCCTGAATGCTAATCATACTGCTTTTTACAGAGGGGCAATTGCATGACATAGTATCTCCACTGGGTGGCACCTGTGTCTAATATGTTGACTTTAAACACGACATTTACAATTTCATTTTACTCCACTTTCATTAAATGAGTACTGACAAAATAGCCTAAAGCAAATCTCTTTAAAAGCAAGTATTCCATCCATGTTGTACACGTGAAACTTATAAACCGATGTTACCTCAATAAAAAAGAAAATTTTAAAAAACAAGTGTTCTAAACACAACTTCCATGTCATATGTCATGTTTTAATAATTTATTGATCAGGTAATTAAATATTTTCAATAAATTTTTGTATATAAGAAGTAGTTTCTTAGCTTCTTTTGATGTAACAGCTCTTCACTCTAATGAAAGTGCCTGAATATGTGCTGTTTGCATTTCAGGAAGAGAAATCGGGAAATGTCAGAAAAACTAATATTAATAGCCCAAATCATCCATTAAAACAAAAACGTATTCATACACACATACACACACATATAGATATTTACATCTGCAAAGGTATTATGTAGAACGTTAATGAGTTTGTATCAAGTATACATCACCCTCATCCATCTTCTCCTTTAATTATATGGACATACATACAAACATACACATATATACATATACATATCATATATAGATATATATGTTTATTCATATATGATATGTGTATATGTTTATATGTTTAATGTATATGCATATACTTGTTGAATTAATCAAATGAATGAAGGGAGAGAAAAGTAAAACTGATATCATTACTAAATCACAACATTCAATACCAGAAAATAATTAGGAAATGTCTATACTGTTTTGAGGTGAAAAGAAGATGTGACACAATTACAGTATACCCATTCAAGGTATAGTTTTAGAGGCAATATGCATGCATATTCAACATAAAAGAAGTTAGAAGATACAGTACCCTTGTGATCTTCCTGAAAAGATGACTTTACAGTGAAGTTAGCCAATTGAGAGATGAATCAAAATAAATAACTCAGAAATATCAAAGTCATTGTAAAAGGACAGAAAGTGAGCCTCAAATCCACTTGAATATTAGACTAAGATTAGTCAACTATGGGAACTGTAATTATAGAGAAGAAAGTGAATGGTGTAAATCTGGATAAAATAAAAATTTTAAAGTAACTAATTAAAATTGGGAAATACAAGAAAAAAGATACGAGGAAATGTTAACCTTCATCTTTTATAGTAGGATGTCAACTGTTGTTTCTATAACTGAAATATGTGATTTAAAAAAATAATGACTGCAAGCTTTTCTGATCTTTATCATATTGTCTTTTCCTAGAATGATTTTAGAATAACTTTTGGGCAGATATGTTCAATTTCAATAATTCCCTTATTTTTACTTCAATTTCTCTTTTTTTCTGTTGGAATCAAGTACAATTAAGTACTTTTTACTTTAAGTAATTAAATTTCTATAATAGAATTTATGATCATCTACATTGCTATATACTCATCTGTCTACTGAGACATAAAATGTAAAGCTGTTTTAAATGATGTTCACCTAAATGATGTTTATCAATGGTTATTTCTGGGTAAGAAATTTATGATGATTATTAAATCCCCTTCTTAGTACTTCTATGTCTTGTTTGAATTATTTTTTGAGCATGATAATTTTTATAAAACTGAAAATTTTTTCCTTAGAAAAATATTTCATGATGTTAACAAGAATTAATTCCAGGTTACAAGAATATATACATTGTTATTCTATTTTCATATTTATCTGTGTTTTAAAAAATCTTTACCCCATCACATTTTAAAAAGTTTTAAGATTATCATTTCTCATCTGAGTAAACATTCAGTAGCATTCCATAAAATTAAATGTAAGATTTTAACCCAAGAACTATTAGAGTATTTTTAAATTTCTAAGTAATTGGGCTTACATAATTTTAAAATTTATTATGTTCCAGTTTTATTACATAATAATAAGAGACTATAACATGTAAGATTTCTAGTTTTTGGAACTTATAAGGTTTTCTTGGTGGTCTATTTATGATAAATTTTGATCAATATTCCAGGAAAACTGGAACAGGGTCACTGTAGGGACTGAAGCTCTATGCATACTTATACAATGTCTTATTGATAATATTAACAAGTTCTTTATATTCTCATTTTTTTTTTGCCTCTTTGACTTATCAAATACTTTTTTTTAAAGTTTTATTTTTTCACATCATACATAAAAATTAACTCAAAGGATCAAAAATTTAAATAGATGTATATGTAAGAGTAAGCAGTTTAGGATTGGCTAGCTCAAAAAATCCCAGGGGAGAGGGCATAGCTCACGTGGTACAGTGCATGCTTAGCATGCACAAAATCCTGGGTTCAATCCCCAGTACCTCCACTGAAAAACCAAATAAAGTTAATTACCTCCCCACTGCAAAAAAAAAAATTATTAAAAAAAAAAATCCCTGCAGGCTTTGGGGCATAGGGGCAGTCCCTAGTTATATGGCACCTGGACTTGGGCTGACTTAGGGAAGAGGAAATGTTGACTTGGTGAGTGACATTTATATAAGGAGGTGGTTCAGAGCATGTGCTCTGGATCACAGAGGAGATACAAACAATTCTGGCCGTTAGTTGGCCCGGTGACTAATGGATGCCAAATAGACAAATATAGAATATAAGAAACCAGAACATAATTGAGACAGGATTGTCAAATTCTTATCTATCTGGTAATCATTTCAAGAAGGATTCCAGAAATCCTTCATACAGAACCTTGAAATTGTATATAATGCATAGACATCACCTTCAATGGAGCAAGGATGTAAGAGAGGAGAAGGAGAAAGTTATCTTGACTCAGTGACTCAGCAGAAAACAAGGGGAATTAGAGGAAAGACATGAGAGGAAAAAAAACAGGCTACAGAAGACTTGGGACTCTGGTGCCATTAAATTGCTTCTTTTGTTCATTCCCTTACAATAGAATCATACTTTCTCAGGTGTAGACTTTGAAGCCAAGCTGCCTGAATACTAATTTCCCCAGCTCCACTAATTGTGAGACTTTGTACAAGTTATTTATCCTTTCTGTATCTCTGTATCTTCATCTATAAAAGTAGGAATAAGAATTGCTGAGATTATCTGAGCTAATATGTAGATAGCTTTGAACAGCACCTGGCCCATTGGAAATGCTTTGTAAGTTTTAGACCTCATTATTATTTGTATAATCAGATTTCACTGAATATGAGAAGGTGGTTTTTCTGATTTTACCCGAAGGTGTCAGTAGAAGTTCTTCACATACATCGTGAGTACCACTGATTGAAAGAAATTGCAAGATGCCTTTGATTAAAAGATGTAACCTTTCAGAAGGGTTAAAATATTTTAAAATGTACATCTTAGAATCAATAAAATAAATCACTATGCTTTCATTTAATTCTAAGTTAATGTATATGTGAAATTAACCAAAAGACAATTGAAACTAGCAAAATAATGTAACTTCTTACTTCTATAAATTCCATTTTGTTCAATCTTGGTTCCATTGAGTCGGTAATATCCAATTCTTTGCAGCATTCTTCTAATTATGGAATAAAGATTATTTGATAGTTTGGTTATAATACATTCATATTTTATATTCATTTTATAGTTTCCCCAAAAGAACATAAAATTCTTACTGTCCATCAATATTTGTAACAGAGTAAATGATGTTTAGTTAGATAACATTCTGATTACTACAAAATTATCATTTTGCCTGGCTTCTATTTAAGCAAGCAAACCAAACACTGAAAAGAACATGCCTACATTTTTAACAGCCATGTTAAGATAAAGCAGAAAAAAACAGGCACATCAGTAGTTATAAAAGACTAAAAATACCTGTGTTGCTTTATGTTAGCATTTATGCTAGCAAGTCCTAAAACAAAACACTTCTACAGACTTTCTTTCTGAATATTTATTTTGTCTTTAATATTTTTAGATTAAATTTTGTCTTCAATGTTTTATGTTAAATAAATAATATATGAATATGTTCTTCTGGTAAAATATTCAAATAATATAAAAAGATAAGCAGTAAAACTTGAAAATGTACCTTTTTCCCTACCTCCCACCAGCACTTTCACTCCCCTCTCCTCCAGAAGTAGCCACTGTCAATGGTTGGTTGTCACTCTTCCAGGAAACGTTCTATGCATTTTCATATGTGTGTATGTGTGTGTATACATTTTTTGTTTTTCTACACATAAAAATGATCATGTTGATCTGTAACTTGCTTTTTTCACATAACCATTCATCTTGCAGATCTTTTCAAGTAGGATTTGAAGCTCAGAGGGCAGGTTTGGGATGGAAATATGAATGAGAGCCAGCTAAAGTCATAGGTTTAAATAAGAAAACCCAGGGAGTGTGTAAAGTGATAATAGAGTCAAAAAGGAAACTCTGGAAAACAACATTTAAGGTACAAATAAAAGAAGAACAAAGAAATTAAAATGTTAAGAGGTGATCAAAAATAAAAGAAAAAATGAAGAGAAAGTGATATCACAAAAGCCAAGCAAAAAAGAATTTCATGGATAACAGAGTGATCAATAACAGTGAATGTGGCAGTTAGTTCAAATTTGATTTGAACTTCCATTTGATATGACAATTATATGATCCTACTGACCTTACCAAGACACAAACACATAAGTTGTATGAAAGCTCATAATAAAAGAATTAATACACCAGTTTCCTCTCCTACTTCCTACTTATTATGGGCTGGTACATAAAAAGATTCTTTAGTCACTCTTGATTTTTGTTAATAATTTATTATGAGATATCAGGTATCATCATAAGAGGACTGTATAAACTTTACTATAAGTTTACACATTAGATGCTCTTATCCCCATCCCAGAATTTCCCTCAAGCTCTGGAAGATTATACGAGCCAGACTCGTTTCTATCTACAACAGTTGTTATTAAGTATATGTGTCTGTCCCTTGGCTGGACTTGGAGCAACTTAAGGGCAAGAAATATGTTTTAGTCCTCTTTGCATCCTCTACCCCATCACAGTATCTGGAACTAAGTGAGGGCTCAACAAATATTGACAGAATGAAGGAATGGCACAGAAAATAAATACTATATAGTATAGGAGGTGAGAGGAGAAGAAATCATTGTCAATCAGAGTGTCTGAAATTTCTCTAATTTTATCACAGTCTCAAGTAGAGCTCTCTTAACTCATTCCTTCTGTACTTACATAAAATACTAAATGAATAAAAGAAGTTATTTCAAAGGTTCTCTGAAAGAGGAGTTGAGGTTGTGCTGTCTGTGGAGAATTAAAATTTTTAGATAGGCTGCAAACAGGTAAAAGGAGAAAAGGTTGTCAGCAAGGCCCAAATCATGTTTGGGGACCAGTGATTGGGAAGATAGGAAGCATATTTTATTTTTAAAGGTGAGAACATATTTCAGACATCTATAGTTATCAATGTAATAAAGTGGTCAAAATTCAATTGCTACTGTTGGTGGGAATGTAGATTAGTGCAGCCACTATGGATAACAGTATACAGGTTTCTTAAAAAAACAAAAATAAAGTTACCATATGACCCAGCAATCCCACTTCTGGGCATATACCCAGAGAAAACTCTAGTTCAAAAAGATACATGCCTCCCAATGTTCATAGCAGCACTATTGACAGT